CACGTACTCTCGCCCGAGGCGAGAATGTTATTGGAACATTCTTATGAAGCAATTATCGATGCGGGGATCAATCCAAAGCGATTAAGAGGAAAAGATACTGCTGTAATTATAGGGACGTCTTTTATAGAATCGCAAGAGAAATTTTTATATGAGAATGTTCAGGTAAAGAAAATTATTATTTAATATATAAGTATGGTAGTAAGAAGTTATCACATAAATTATTATTTATTGTTTATGTGCGGAAAATTTTAATACGCTAAGATTCTGTAATTAGATAGGAGGTCAGAATATTATTGGATGTAGCAAATCTACAACAGCAAACATGATTTCATACCATTTGGATCTAAAAGGACCATCTTACACTGTCGACACAGCCTGCAGCTCTAGTCTTTATGCCATAGCCCTTGGTTATAGTTATATCATGTCGGGCAAATGCGAAGACGCTATAATTGGAACTGCAAATCTATGTTCTCATCCAATTGTAAACCTGCAATTCGCGCGCCTTGGTATTTTTATTAAAACTTACTAGTCTAACAATATACTAGGCATGGAATTATAAAACATTATATTTCTCTTATACACAGAAAAATAAATTTCAACGTACTGCGTAATAATAGTAATAATGTTTGTAGTAAGATATTTGCCAAAATTAAATATTTCTTTTCATAGAAATTGATACTTATTCAATTCATTATGTATAAATTAATTCAATTAAAAAACGTATTGTTTATTTTTTAGGTGTTTTGTCATCCGATGGTTATTGTAGACCTTTCGATACCGGTGCAGATGGGTATTCGCGTAGTGAAACCGTGACAGTGATATATCTTCAAAAAGCGAAAAACGCGAAAAGGATTTATGGTATTTGTCCGCATATTAAAATAAATAGTGACGGTTACAAAGAAGAAGGGATAACATATCCATCGACGCTTATACAAAGTACCTTGCTAACGGAATTTTACAATGAGTGCGGAATATCGAAACTTTGCTTGGATTATATTGAAGCGCATGGTACCGCTACGAAAGCTGGCGATCCTCCGGAAATTAATGCTATCTACAATGTTTTGTGTAAAAA